ATGGTGGCTCAAAACACTCTTTTTTTTATTACATGTATTTAGATTTGTATCGCACTTAAACTCTGACCCAACCACATGATTAAAAATTGAGAACTACTTACCACTATCCCTATCACGAGAAAAGTCTTCCCCAACCTATCAAAACCATGCCTATATATACCCCCACCTTTCCTATGCTAAAACCCACATCTTAAGAGACACTAAGCCAAAAAAAGGAGAGAGAAAACTAGGCCAAAAAAAGTGTTGTGATCGTGCAGCAATTATGATGAATAGTAAGGAATCAAACAATTAAGAAAGCAGGAGAAAATAACACACAGAGATTTACGTGGTTCGGCAATGTGCCTACATCTACGAGAGCGAGCGACTGTTCTTTTCTTTATTGAAGTAGGGTTACATCTTAAGTATTTATATAACCCTAATATGGACGTATTTACAAAAATACCCCTGTACCGTACCGCGGGGCGTTGCCCCCGCACCCCCAACTTATCAGCGTCCCCTATATATAAATCCCGCAAGGCAGATGCCGTCGCGGGCTCCGCTCCGGCATCTGCCTCCTTGCCATTATGCACATAGCAAAATATGAGCCACATATACTCTAACAATCTACTCCACCGGGGACGCTGAGTTGAGGCATCTCCCATCTAGCAACTAGAGACATTAATCAAGTCCAAGCAGTGCTTGAACTTGTCTGTAGTAACAGGCTTTGTCAACATGTCTGCTGCATTCTCAGAAGTGTGAACTTTCTCAAGTAATAGTTCACCAGAAGAAACCAGTTCCCTGATCTTATGAAACCTCACATCTATATGTTTGGTCCTCGCATGATACACCTGGTTCTTTGCCAAATAAATGGCACTCTGACTGTCACAATGCAATTGAACTCCACCTTGCTGGGCACCCAGCTCCTTGACTAAACCTGTAAGCCACAAAGCCTCTTTGGCAGCCTCAGCTACTGCCATATACTCTGACTCAGTAGTAGATAGTGCAATTATAGGCTGTACCATGGACTTCCAACAAATAGGTCCTCCCACAAGAGTAAACACATAACCTGTGGTAGACCTCCTGTCATCCAAGTCTCCTGCATAGTCTGCATCCACATATCCCATAACTGAAGGGTCACTCTGTTGTCTGCTAAACCTGATGCCATAGTCTGTAGTGCCCCTCAAGTATCTGAAAATCCACTTGACTGCATCCCAATGCTGTCGACCCGGATTTGAAAGAAACTTGCTAACCACGCTGACAGCTTGTGCCAAATCTGGTCTTGTACAAACCATAGCATACATCAAACACCCCACTGCACTAGCATATGAGACCTTTGACATGTCATGAACTTCATCATCTGTCTTCGGGCACTGAGCGGTAGACAATCTGAAATGATTCGCCAAAGGTGTACTTACTGATTTTGCATAACTCATGCTGAACCTGTCCAACACCTTCTCAACATAGCTATGCTGAGATAGCCATAATCTCCTGGAAGCTCTGTCCCTGCGAATCTCCATCCCAAGAATCTTCTTGGCCGCACCCAAATCCTTCATGTCAAATTCTCTACTCAACAAAGTCTTCAACTTGTTGACCTCACTCATACTCTTGGCAGCAATCAACATATCATCCACATAAAGTAACAGAAAAATAAATGAATCATCATCAAGCCTTTTTACATAGACACAACAATCATACTCACACCTTTTGTAGCCAATTCGGATCATGTAAGAGTCAAATCGTTTGTACCACTGCCTCGGAGACTGCTTCAGCCCATAAAGTGATTTCTTCAAATTACAGACCAAATGTTCCTCTCCAGGGAGACTGAACCCTTCTGGCTGTACCATGTAAATCCGTTCCTCCAAGTCGCCATGAAGGAAAGCTGTCTTTACATCCATCTGCTCCAACTGCATATCTGAATGTGCTACTAGTGCCAACACTGTCCTGATGGAAGTGTGTCTGACCACGGGGGAGAAGATCTCATCATAGTCAACCCCTTTTCTCTGTGAGTAACCCTTTGCTACTAGACGAGCCTTGAATTTTTCTCCCTCATTTTCTGATACTGCTTCTTTCTTCTTATACACCCATTTGCACCCTATTGCTCTCTTCCCCTCGGGAAGTTCCACCAACTCCCACGTCTGGTTCTTATGCAGAGACTCCATCTCCTCCACCATAGCACCCATCCATCTACTTTTCTCTTGGCTTTGTACTGCCTCCTGAAAAGTTGTAGGATCCCCGCTACTAGTAATAAGCGCATAAGAAACCAAATCTTCAAAACCATACCTGGTAGGTGGCTTGATATTGCGTTTGGGCCTGTCTGTGGCTATACTATGATGCTGTTGATCACCTGAGATAGAACGCTCTACATGCTGAGCATCCTCTTCTCTACCATGATTCTCTAGCTCCACCTGCACCACATGGTCATTAGTGCTACAGTTTTCTGGTACTTGTTTCTCTTCTTCCTGAGTACGCTGCAACATGGCTTTTTCATCAAAAACCACATCTCTACTGATCACCATCTTGTTTGTCTTCGGATCCCAGAGCTTGAAGCCTTTCACTCATCTCTGATATCCCAGAAAGATACACTGTCTAGACTTTGCATCAAGCTTCGACCTCTCCTCACTAGAAACATGTACATAGGCTGGACATCCAAACACTCTCAAACCAGAGTAGTCTACCTCACTGCCTGTCCACACCTCCTCTGATACTTTCCCATCTAGTGCTGCCCTCGGTGATCTGTTAATCAAGAAACATGCCATATTCACTGCCTCTGCCCAGAAATTCTTTGCAAGCCCTGCATTCAACCTGAGACACCGAGCTTTCTCGGCTATCGTTCTGTTCATCCTTTCCGCTACACCATTTTGTTGTGGTGTCTTGCGGACTGTGAAGTGTCTCTTGATCCCATGCTGCTCACACAACTCCTGGAACTTTGAATCTGTGTACTCAGTACCATTATCTGACCTGAGGCATTTAATCTTCCTCCCTGTCTGGTTCTCTACTTCAGCTTTCCACAGCTTGAACTTGGCAAACGCTTCTGACTTGTGCCGCATGAAGTACACCCAGACCTTTCGTGAGTAATCATCAATGAAACTCACGAAATACATGTATCCTCCTCGTGATAGTACGCTAACTGGTCCCCAAACATCTGTATGGACATAGTCGAGAACCCCCTCTGTCTTGTGTGTGGCTGTCTTGAACTGCACCCTATTCTGTTTTCCAAGAACACAATATTTGCAAAAATTGAGCTTGCATGTCTTGACACCCTTCAATAGATTTTTCTTATGAAGCTCTATCATCCCACGCTCACTCATATGACCCAGCCGCATATGCCACAAGACTGTATTATCTGATTCAGACTCTACAGCAGCAACTCCACCTACAATTGTAGTACCCAGCAGTCTGTAAATGTTTCCTACTACTTTCTGTCCCTTCATCACTGTCAGCATGCCTTTACTTACTTTCATTACTCCACTTATAGATTTGTAACTATAACCATTACAATCCAAAGTGCCCAATGAAATCAAATTCTTCCTTAGATCCGGTACATGTCTAACATCACACAACGTTCTAACCATACCATCAAACATCTTAATTCTAATATTTCCTATTCCAACAACTTTGCAAGATGCATCATTACCCATCAGAACAGAACCAGAATTTACTGACCTGTAGGTGTCAAACCAATCTTTGTTGGGTGTCATGTGATAGGAACATGCTGAATCCATAATCCAAGAATCTGTTAAACGATCTGAACTAGATAAAACAGAAAGCATATCTCCGTCACCACTCTCTGAATCTTCTTCTTCCACTACGTTTGCAGACTTTGATGCACCCTCTTTGTTCTCTGAATCCCCTTTCTTTTTCTCTGGACAGTCCCGTTTAAAGTGCCCCTTTTTCCCGCACTTGTAACACGAGACAGAGACGTCCTTCTTCTTCTTCCTCGACTTGGACCGGGCTTTATTGTTACCCGATCCATTCCGAGATTTGCTTCTTCCACGTTCCTGGTTACCTTTCACCACAAGCCCTTCACCTTGTGAAGCCTCATCACTGGCTTTCTTCCGCTGATGAAAACCTAACAGAGCACCTGTGACATCCTCCAATTCGAGGGTTTCTTTCCCCCACATCAGAGTCGTAACCAAATTCTCGTACGTAGGAGACGCCGGTAAGGAATTCAGCAACATCAGCGCCTTGTCTTCGTCTTCGAACTTCACATCAACTCGCTTCAGATCGCTGATGATCTGATTGAACACGTTGATGTGTTGGGTCAAATCCGAGCCCTCTGACATCTTAAGACCATATAGTTTCTGCTTAAGATAGAGCTTGTTCGTCAACGACTTGGACATATACCGACTTTCCAGTTTCAACCAAACTTCCGCCGGTGATTCCTCATCCATGACGTGATACATCACTTCATCAGCCAGACAAAGCCTAATAGTTGCCACAGCATTCGCTTCCAATTCTTTCCAATCCATGTCGTCCATTCCTGCCGGTTGTTTTCCGTATAATGCCTTCACCATGCCCTGCTGCACTAACAGGTCCTTCACCCTCCTCTGCCATAATCCGAAATTCCCAGTTCCGTCGAACTTCATGATGTCGAATTTTGTAGAGGAAATCCCAGACATCGTAGTCTAGCTCTGATACCAATTGTTGTGATCGTGCAGCAATTATGGTGAATAGTAAGGAATCAAACAATTAAGAAAGCAGGAGAAAATAACACACAGAGATTTACGTGGTTCGGCAATGTGCCTACATCCACGAGAGCGAGCGGCCGTTCTTTTCCATTATTAAAGTAGGGTTACATCTTAAGTATTTATATAACCCTAATATGGACGTATTTACAAAAATACCCCTGTACCGTACCGCGGGGGCGTTGCCCCCGCACCCCCAACTTATCAGCGTCCCCTATATATAAATCCCGCAAGGCAGATGCCGTCGCGAGCTCCGCTCCGGCATCTGCCTCCTTGCCATTATGCACATAGCAAAATATGAGCCACATATACTCTAACAAAAAGAGAGAGAAAACAATGACGTTTCGGACAGTGGTGTTGCTCTGTTTCTTGTTTATCGTGGGAGCCTTGTCTCAAGGCGATGTCGGTTCGATCATCAGTAAAACCCAGTTCGATCAGATGTTGAAGCATCGAGATGATGTGGCTTGCCCTGGGAAAGGCTTCTACACTTATGATGCTTTCGTAGCTGCAGCCAAGTCATTTGGAGCCTTTGGAACAACTGGTGCCACAGACATTCGCAAGAGAGAAATTGCCGCTTTTTTGGCACAAACATCCCATGAAACCACAGGTATAATGTTTCCTTCAGTAATGTTGGCAACCATGTCCGGATCCATATGTCAATGAGATAGTGGTGCTTTTGATTCGACTTCTATTTTGCTTGAAATTCAACTTTAATTAAACCGGTCTTTGTTTTTGGTATTGTGTTTAATCAATCCAGTATTACTATATGCCAGATACGCCCTTCTGTATGTTCAAAAAATGACATGCATGGCCACAATGCACCTGGGGTGGAGATAATTAATGATACATGTAAAGGAACTAAACCCCAAGTTAACTAGCACATGAAAAAAGAAAAAAACGGTTCTTGTCGCTTTAGGTTTCTACAGGATCTTGATCGTTTATGTATTCATATCCCATATATGTCGAGGTTATTTCGGTGAAATGAAAAAGAATAATGCATGATAATATGATTACTCATATATTTTTGATGGATTAACATAGGTGGGTGGGCTACTGCCCCGGATGGTCCATATGCATGGGGATACTGCTACAAAGAAGAACAAGGCAACCCACCAGACTATTGTGTTGCAAATCAACAATGGCCATGCGTTCCTGGTAAGAAGTACTATGGTCGAGGCCCCATCCAAATCTCATAGTAAGTGTTTTCTTTTTCACTTTGGTTAGATAATCAACATATTAGAGCATGTTTTGTCCTCTTCTTCTGAATTGCATCCATCACAAAAACCTTAACGTTGTGCTTGCATGTGTACCATGATTTGCCAGCAACTACAACTATGGTCCAGCAGGAAGAGCCATCGGATTGAATCTGCTAAACAGCCCCGAAACCGTTGCAAACGATCCAGTAGTTTCTTTCAAGACAGCGTTCTGGTTTTGGATGACACCCCAATCGCCAAAACCTTCATGCCACGACGTCATCACCGGAACATGGAGGCCATCGGCAGCAGATACAGCAGCCGGTCGTGTCCCTGGCTATGGTGTGATCACCAATATCATCAACGGTGGAATTGAATGTGGTAAAGGTTCTAACCCACAGGTGGAGGATCGGATCGGTTTCTACAAAAGATACTGTGACATACTNGGAACATGGAGGCCATCGGCAGCAGATACAGCAGCCGGTCGTGTCCCTGGCTATGGTGTGATCACCAATATCATCAACGGTGGAATTGAATGTGGTAAAGGTTCTAACCCACAGGTGGAGGATCGGATCGGTTTCTACAAGAGATACTGTGACATACTGGGAGTCGGCTATGGCAACAATCTGGATTGCTACAACCAGAGGCCTTTTGCTTAGGCACTTAAAGGGAGCGCTCGAGCCTGTCTCCAGAGTTACTTATAGGAATAACATGTTTCATACATGCTTGTAATGTAATGTAATGAAGCAGTAATTAATCAGCATAGTTTGGCTTGCCAAAATAGTAATTTGGTGCCAAATATCTGTTTGTATCAAGGAAATAATCAATCAACAAAACTTTCTATATTTCAGATATATTGAATCTAATAGTTAAACACTGACATGACATTTTAAGGATTGAGGCGGCATATAGGGCTGTTCACCCTTCTATAGTTATGACTTATGAGTTACGGGAAACTATTTCTTTGGTCAAAATCTACATGATTGAGGGTAATGTTTCTAGTTGAATTACGTCCAAAAGATTCGCTCAAAAAATCACATAAAAATGTGGAATATTTCACATATTTTCAAACTTTAATTTATTAATTTTTGGGTTAATTTTACAACTCAGTTATCAAATTTTTTGATTACTTTTGCAACTAGATTATTAAAATATAGAAAAAATTACATTCAGATTTCTGAAATTTATATTTTTAAAGAGTTTAAGCTTCATGATACTTTTAGAGAGTTTCTAATTTATACTTTTGCAAATTAGAAATTTAGCGAGAAATTTTCGATTCAAAAGGATTTAGAATAAGTACCACTAAAACTAAGAATATATAATGTAACTTTATTAAAATAAAAAATTGAAATCATGAAGTATTAAAAATTGAAGATCAAGATATACCAAAAAATAAACTCTTTAAATATTTAGGGTCTATTATTCATAAAGAGCATATTGACAACGACGTTAGGCATATAATTAATGCTAGGACTAAATGGAAGAATGCATCCGGTGCATCCAATTTATAGTGTGATAGACATATTTCCCTAAAGTTAAAAGAAATATTTTATAAAACAGCTAAGACCCAATATGCTCTTTGGCATTAAGTGTTGAGCAACTAAAAAATAATATATTTAACAGTTGTGTAGCAAAAAATCAAAATGTTAAGATAGATGAGTGGTGAAATTAAGAAAGATAGAATTAGGAACGAATATATTCAAAAAAAAGTAGAATAATACAAATAAGAAATAAGTTAAGGGAGATTTTTTTTTTTATCAATTAAGGGAGAATCGACTTAAGTGATTTAGACATATTTATAAACGGCCTACTAAGGTACTAGTGAGGAAAAAAAAATAACTTATAATTTAATTATAAACATTGCCCTTAACAGAGCTCAATAGGCACGACCAGAAAAACGTGGAGACAATGCTTTATTGAGTTGAGATATTCTTTCTGTGTAAACTTTTGGGTCTTTTACTATGTAATCAACAGGATACTCTTTATTTTTCACTTGACCAATTGTGAAATCTATATGCATTGTTCTCTCAACCAAAAGAGTCCGTTGGGTTGGGTGATTTTCATGAAGTTGCAAAAGCTAGGTGCTATCCTTGGGGACAAACTGTCAAATTTAGGACTGCTTGCGCAGAACATAACACGGTCTCCTCCCTGTGGCACCAAGATATCCCAATGTAGTGCAGGGAGCATATGCAAGTAATTTAGTACATGAGAGTTTTGTCACTGCACGACCTGAGAAGGATCATATGTAGCAAACTTTATTTTGTCACATGTTGGTATGTAATCATGCAGAAAGAAATATGAGTGCGGTGGCAAAAAAAGCGTCTCGTCTCTGTATAATGCTTCTGAGAAAATTCTCGGGCAATTTAACTGTGTAATTGCATCTGCCTTGTTGAAGAATACACAGTGCTGGAGGTTTCGTGATCGACCTTCTGTGTTATATTCCAACCAGAAATGACAGCATGAATTAACAGGAGCCTAAGAACTCCGAGCCCTCAATTTTGTTTCCTTAATGAAATGACAGTGATGCCAGGCCAGTAATCATCATCATGTTACAAACTATATGTTAAAGTGGTGAAGTAGTTAAAAGCTATGGCTAAAATAATTAACCACATTCATATTTTAACTGAGTAATTAACTGGAAGTTACAAGTCGGTAACTGTTGATGAGCGTAAAATCGTCAAAAACAATAATTATAAATTAACTTGTAATGGAGAAGATGAAAGATACACTCAAATTTTCAATGACCCTTGATTTGGGTATTATTAGGATTAGTTTTAGATTTATTTAGGAAACAGTTAGTCCCATAATTAAGACCGTTTATTTAGTCTTTTTGTAACAAAGTAATTAAGGAGTCTTCTTTTATCAATTTTTTGTACTGTGTGTTTGTTCATTATTTTTCATCTAAGAAAGTTATGAGATAAGACATTTGAACCCCTTACAACAAGCGCCTAAAAATTGTCTATCGATTGCAATATATTTATCGTTCCCAACAAATTTTGAAACAACAATAATATAAAGTTAGTGATGATCATAAATTTTCAATTGATTCATTTGTAGCTATTGATCATAAAAGTAATAACATAAATAAAAAGAAAAAAGAGGGATATAGTATAAAAATATTATTTTTGGTACCATAATTAATTCCCAATCGTTAAATTTAGACCTAGTCTTATCTTTTTGTTTCCCACGTTTTTTTGAATTCAAGTTTTGTACATGATCAATTTTATTAATAGAAGTCAAATTATCGATGAAATATGCAATCAAGATTATTATCCGTTAAAGATAAAGAGAATTGAAATTAAAATTTAGCATAACTAAAAATTAATTTTTTTTGAAGCAAATGTAAAATTAAAAATTTGTGTGCCTGGTCGAATATTGCAGAGAACCAAAGCTATGTTTAAAAAAGAAAAATTTAAGAAGACAAATGTTATTACAATTAGTTTGGAATAACGAGATACTCCTAATCACACTATTTTCGGGTTATTTTGTGCACTTCAAAAAATAATTAATAAAAAATCTAACTCATATTAAAACTGACCTTAATTTAATTTATACTACTAATAAAAGTACCTTAGATGAAAGACTTTTGATTAACTATTTTGTCCTTATAAAAAAATTATAAAGACTAACATCACCTTTTATATTTAAATATATAGATTATCATTATATCCTTATATATTTAAATAACAAATTAACCTCTAAGATATTATGTAAATCTTTATCTTTGTAAAACTTTTAAATAGTCATGTTACGTTTAATAGGATATATAAAAAATATTATTCTTTTTTTCTAAAACCCCAATATTAATACAAATCAACAACTTTATTGATACAATATTATCTCCGGTGCCAAAAAATCGATATATGTATTTTTTTTCTCTTCATTCAGAATACAAACAATTTAAGTATGATAAATATAAGATAATATCAAATTTAACTATATAATTAAATTTTTATGTATTTTATCAAATATCTTAACGAAAACTTTTACGTGCAACGCACGTGTTGCACTGCTAAACTAAAAAAAATATAAAGATGAAAAGTTATAACTAAAAATTATAAATTTGCAAATTATAAATATTAGCTAATAGACAATTAGTTAGATAGTTGATTTTGATAATAAGACAGTAAAAATATCTTATTAGGTGATATTACATAATTTCCATACACTCCAAGCATCGGATATGATAATAAATTGTGATTATTTGATTGATAGTGGACTTCATCCATTTACTCTCTATAGCTAAGTCAATAATCAAAATGCATTAAACTATCAAATTACGTCTACTAGCATGGAACAACACAAAGTTTTGGACAGAACCGATCCAACCAGTAGGTCAATAAATCATGAATTTTAGGCTCTATTATAAGAAAGATTCATAATTTTTAGGTGTGTAATAATAGCCCAAACAAATAAGCAAAATCCATAAGAAATATGCCCCACAAAAAATTTAGATATAAGTCCAAACAAAAAATTTCAACTTGCGTATATTGGGTTTTATGAAACACGGATACTTAGTTGAAATTGACGTACCCGTATCCGATACCGTATTGAATATGATATTCATCGGATACTCGAGGATAAATATCAGATACACCTTCTATGTATCCGATAATAATTAAATATTAGAATACTTCACGAAAATTTTTGTGGTAGAGCAACATATATAATTTTTGACTTAAACTTTTAACATATCTTTTAGAATTCACATATCATACAATACATTAACAAAAAATTCATATTACTTTAAAGGCACATGAGTGTTTCTTAAGTATTATCTACAATTACATGTCAAAAGAGTATAAAATAAAGCTACTATATTATTATCCTAGCAAAAATTACTTTTAAATAATAGATAAATATTAGTTTTAATTTCTTTAATTAGTCACTTCACTTTGTCAATATACTACAACGATACAATATATATTCTCTTCAAACTAAAAAAAGTTACTAATTTTCTTTATTGTATACTAAAGAACTACCAAAATATATAAGTATTAAGCTAGTTGAAAATTATAAAAATAATAATTATATATTATTATAGTCGTATCTTAGCCGTAATCATATCCTATTTTTTTAGACTCTATCGAATTGCCGTATCCGTATCGTATTGTGCCCTATTCCGTTTCCGCATATGTGCTTCATAGATTGAGTCTATAATTAATTCTGCCCATAAAATTAAAAAGTCCTAAAATTTAATTTTTTGAAAGACAGAAAAGTTAATATTAAAACTAACACTACTAAAAATCAAGCCTTAAACATTCCCCCTACAAGAAAAAAAAATCAAATTAAAATTTACCATCATACACTCTCGCTCTCTCACCATCAAGTTCAAAAGATTGAATATAACAATCGTTTGAATATATAAACTTATTATTTTTATATTTTAAAAAATAAATAAATAATATTTAAATAAATTTACTATTCATATTAAAAAAAGTCTAATTGATAATTCTGCTTTAGGCCCTAAAATATTTGGGCCCGCAAGATTTTGGGACCCCAAAAAATGATCATCTATTTTTATAAAATTATAGGGTTATATATATTACTTGCCTTGAAATATAAAAAAAAATGATAAAGAGAATAGAAAATTAATATATATATATATATATATATAAAGAGAGTCTCAAATAAATTCATAACAAAGAATTTGGTAATA